GGTCAACATGCAGGATGTTAACTGTTCCGGGTCTCTAAAATCCTCAAGGGACTCATAGGAATTGGCCCCATGTTGCTCCAGCTCATGGAGGCCCACACCAGCGGGTTTAAAACGTTGCCCTACAGGGGGCAGGCGAGCCATGCTGGCTTCCCCTGAGAGAAACAAGATGCCCCTGCTCATGAGAGCCTCCCGCCTACTCCAGACCACTCACTCCTTAATTTCCAATGTTATTTTTAAGCTCTGTTTACCCATATGAGTAAGGGGGAACTTCCTTCAAAATATTGCTCCTGTAAAAAGGAAATAAACCCTCAAAACACCGAGGCGCTTTCCTCTCACCTCCTAACACGCCAGCGCCCACCTCTTTCTTGTCTTTCGAGGACACACTCACACTCATCCCACATGCAAGCTCACAGGAGCCCCTCGGTCATCGCCACAGGCTCCTTCCAATCCGAAGCTCAGTGCTTCCCCATCCCCATAGACTGAAACATCAAGACCCTGATATTCCCACACAAGGCTCCAACATGCATCACCTCCTCTGTCGGAGTCACACCACTCTGGAGCCTTGACATTTGTCCTCGTGGGGGAAATGCTCGGATTTGAATTTCCTCCTATCCGCTTATGTCCTCAATTTCTAAGGGCTTCCTCCACTCCTCCCCTCCTGGGCAAACCATCATCTTTACAGAACTCAAGTTACTAAAAGCTCACATCTTTTCACTGAACTAAATAGTAAATGAATAGAACTGGTGAGAAATGATTTCTTCCTAATCATACCTGGCTTAAACATGTCAAATATGACTCAATATTATGAAATAAGTTAACAGGGCTCAGAGCGATTTCTGCACCCCTGTCTACCTGTAATAGCACTGTCGAGAAATAATTTCTCAGGGGCCTGAAATAATTTCTAAATTTTCATAAATTTTCATTGAGAGTAGTGCCAAATAAAATGGGCTTTCTTATATGCATTACAATCTTCACTGTATTATGCTAGCTCCTTTCTTCAAAAGAAATCCCTCCATGAATCTCCTGCTAACATATGCCATCATTCTCCCTACTTCCCAACGAAATCACTTCAACTATGTTGTCACAGGGTGAATATAAACCAGGAGTGCACCACTGTGTTAGATAAATAACAATGCATGTGCCTGCTGCTGTGTGTCCTATGATTAAGACTTAGCATATTAATAAGTCATCTGCTTCCTTGATACATACACCTCATCTACTATCATATGTGTATGAATAATTTTATAATAACGAACCAGAAGATTCTTGGGGTAATTTTAACAAGTCTTTACTCAAGATGCAATCAGGAGCTGGGCTCGGTGGCTCAGCCTGTAATCCCACGCCTTTGGGAGGCTGAGGTGAGTGGATTGCCCAAGCCCGCGGGTTCAAGACCCGCCTGGGCAGGTGAGACCTTATTGCTACAATAAAATCAAAAAAATTAGCCAGGCGTGGTAGCGCACGCCTGTAATTCCGGCTACTCGGAAGGCTGAGGCGGAAGGATCGCCGGAGCCCAGCAGGTCGAGGCTGCGGTGTCCGGGAGCGGCCACTGCACTCCAGTCTGGGCAACAGAGTGAGACTCCAACTCAAAAAAAAAAAAAAAAAGATGCAATCAGGAGGGATAAGCTATTTATTATCTGATCATTTAAATATACAAGCTACTTTAAAAGATTATTTTACAAACAGCTATTTTTTTAAGTAAAGAAAATTTGGAAGAAACATAATGCTATGGTAAACAACTTGAGCACAAATTTTTCTTCCTAAAAATGTATAACCAAGTACAGCTTTCAGCTCTATACTCTACACGTGCAGGGGGACTTTCTCAAGAAGGAGGAACACAAGATATCTTTGTTGTTGTTGTTGTTATTTGAGTTGGAGTCTCACTCTGTGGCCCAGGCTGGAGTGCAGCGTTGACCTGTTAGGCTTCGGCAATCCTTTCACCTCAGCCTTCCAAGTAGCTGGAACTACAGACGGGTGTGACCACGCCCAGCTCATTTTTTGATTATAGAAATGAGGCTTCACCATGTTGCCCAGGCTGGTCTCGAACCCATGGGCTCAGGCAATCCTCTCGGCCTTGGCCTCCCAAAGTGCTGGGATTACAGGCTTGAGCCATTGTGCCCAGTCACAAGATGTCTTTGACTTTTAAAAGTCTATGGAAGTAATAACAAGCCGGACTTGGTGGCTCAGCCTATAATCCCGCACCTTTGGAAGGCTGAGGTGAGTGGATTGCCTGAGCCCGCAGGGTCAAGACCCGCCTGGGCAACTTGGCGAGACCTAATCTCTACAATAAATCAAAAATTAGCCAGGCGTGGTAGTGCGTGCCTGTAGTTACAGCTACTTGGAAGGCTGAGGCGGAAGGATCGCCGGAGCCCAGCAGGTCGAGGCTGCGGTGGCCAGGAGCGGCCACTGCACTCCAGTCCGGGTGACAGAGTGAGACTCCAACTCAAAAGAAAAAAAGAAAGTAATTACAAAACACACACACCCACACACACACCCCCACACACATACATACGCGCGCGCACACACACATACCCCAGATGTAACCAAAGAAAAGAAGAAAAGGACAGAAACCTAATTTGTTTAAAATGTTTGTTTTAATTTTTAAGAGTTATTTTCTGTTTTCACAGAAAAAGTGCTCACTTGTAATAAATTGCTTTATCATTTATATCATCTACTTGCTATTCCAGTATGTTTTGAGGTATGTGTGTACGTCTCTGTGTATGTGTGTACGTCTCTGTGTATGTGTGTTCAATTGTTTTTTGCATTGGTTTCTGCTTTGCATCATCACATAGAGAGGTGGTGGGGAATGGGTCTCAGGGAACACATACCATAATCAGTGAACATTGTAATTTGCAAGTAGTTTCTGAATCCTAGCGCTCCAACCCCTACTTTATTCAAATTTCAAAAACTACAAGAGACAGCAAAGCTTCCCATCCACTATCCTATTTCAAAATAGAACAAATCCAGAGCCTGGATCAGGGAAGAATGGAGAACTGAGCAAACATCAAAAGGAAAAGACTCTTCCACTGACACTGAATAACAGAACTAAAGAGAAAAACAAGAGATCTGTCACAAATGAGGAAAAACCAAAGGAAGACCTCAGGCAATTTCAAGTGTACCAAAGACAAAACTCCTAAAAAATCAGACCTTGGTGCCCAAACAATGGAAGTCAACAATGACTGGCCCCAGAATATGACAGGGATTAAGGAATGAATGGAAAGAGTGAATAAGACTTAAGAAAGACAAGATGCAACACAGAAAGAACTTGCAACAGAGATTTTTGGCAATAAAAAGTTTCATCCTAGAAATAAATAACAAGATGACAAGCATGGAAAGCAGAATTAATCTAGGTAAAGAAAGAATCTCAGAACCTGAAGACCAGAACATGGAATTAACCTGATCCGTAAAAATCATAAAAAGAAGACTCAGAAAGAAAGAATAAATCATCTACTAGTGATAGCTATATTACTAGAATCAAAAAGTAAAGGTGATTGCTTGGGTATTTAATCTAAATATATATATTATCAACTTAAGACCATATGTAAATAAGAAAATAAACAACACATTCCACAATTTTAAACTTTATCAAATGATGGTCATCTTTAAAACCGGATATTTAAACATGCAATCATGCAACTATATTACACAAAGTCAATAATCATAAAATTTGTAAAACAGTTCTCATGGTTTATAAAATTACGTTTAAAAGATATTTTAGTGATATTAACAACCATCCACTGTCATTATTAACTTAATAATTCATACATAATATGTCATACATAATCATAACCTTCCAGAGTATTTGTTGTAGCTCAGGTAAGAAAATCTTGCCAGTCTCCAGAAAACATATAATTAGTACTTTGATGAAAAAACACACTGAAGGATAAAGATCAGCTTAATTTCACACTAATTCCTGGACACAATTACAAAAGAGAAGAAATCTATTTTCTACAACTGCTATAATTTCCTGAGCTGACATTAGAGAAAATTCAAGGGTGTCTCTTGTGAGAGACATGGCATTCTTGGGCGAGAGTGAAAGAGACCGTGGCAAACATGGCCTCCATTCTGTCAAATGGTCAATCCTATCACATCTCTGCTCAGACTCCCGGCATCTGACCCTGGTTGGCACCCTATCCCTCTCAGAATACGTCCATCTTTCTCCTTTGGTGACAGCACCATCTCCTGGTTTCCTCCCACCCAGTCAGCTGCACCTTCTCACCTTTTTGTCTCTCCCACCATCTCCTCACTGAGCATCACAAGACCCGGGGCCCTCATGCCTTCTTTCCTCTCATCCAGTGCCAAGGTTTTAAATACAAGCAGATGCTGATAACTCGGACACCCATCACCTCAGCCCTGATCTCTCGAGGTTCTTCATGCACCTGAGTCCTCAACAAGTCACTCGAGTGCTTAGCAGGTATCATGCAGAACTCGTGCTTCCCCACAGCAGTCCTGCCCTTCCTAGTCTTCCTGTAAGTGCAAAGGACATGACTATTCTCCCAGCAGCTCATCATTTGCTCTTCCTCATACTCTTCATCAACTCGTCAGCAAGACTCACTATTAACAAAGAACCACTTTTAAGTCAGTCCACTTCTGCCTTGGGGTCCCTATGTTTCTTTAAGAGAAAAAGGAAAAACTGGTTTCAGGCACTGACAGCATTTATACGGGAGAAAAGACGGACTGAAACTGCACAGAAAATCAACAGGGATGGCTGCTTAGAAGCACCCCTGGTGCAATCCCAGGAGCAAATTCAGAAACTGAATTGAAGGGGTAGAAGAAGCTGTGAGACAGCAGAGCCAACTCAGAAGCAACCACATGCCAGTCTCTCAGTGTCCTCCACCATTTGTGTGACTGCATCCTCCAGTCTCCTAGCAGGGAAAAAGAGCACGGCAGAAAAACATTTGTTTTTATTTTAGTAGCAGCTTAAAGCAGGTGCAAAGAAAAGGGGAATGCAAATTCAAACTCTAAAAGAGAGACATATGGACAGTAATTAAGTCGCTACGTACTGTACAGAGGTCTTTATACTGCAGCTTTTGGAATTTTGTATCTGTATTTCCTGCACACAGTTCCACGTAACCAAGAACAACTTGAAACACAGTATTGTGAATGGCTTGAGTGAAGTGCATATGAAGCTGATCCATCGCTGTCTGTGGAAAGAAAAAGTACAACCTAATTTTCCATTACTACAATAAAAACATTCAACAAATTTGAAAAACACAGGGAGAGTATCTTTACCAATCTTATTACAACACAAAGACCATGACTATTCTTAGAATTATAACTGCAGTATAGATTATGTATAAATAATCCGCCACATAACCACAGCATTCAAGGTAAATTCGAATTGTGGACACTGCTGTACTGTGCTGTATTTACAACTGGTATTCATCTTACTCTTTCTCAAACACACTGTGCATGATCCCACTTCTGGACCCCTCTGCCACCAGATACTTGTTCTTTTACATCCATCAGTATGCTTCCCAACGGCTACCTTCTCAGGAGCCTGTCCTGACTCATCGATGCAGGTCAGTACTTTCTATCACAGTATCTGCTTGCCCTGAGTTGCATTTCTTTGTGGCACTTGAGACCACTGACATCATATTCACTTACAGGTATACCACACAGATAATGCAGGTTTGGGTCCAGACCATGGTAATAAGGTGACTATCATAATAAAGTGAATGTTTTGCTTCTAAGTGTACATAAAAGTTATATTTACACTACAGTCTATTAAGTGTGCAATAACATTGTCTTTTAAAAAGTACACACCCTAATTTTAAAATATTGCAAAAAAGTGTGAATGACCATCTAAGCCTTTAGTGAGTCAGAATCCTTTTGCCAGTAGAGGGTCTCTTTTCGATGTTGACGGTGCTAACTGAGCAGGCTGTTGACTCTTGAAGGCTGGGGTGGCTGTGGCAATTTCTTAATTTCTTAAGTCTGCCGCATCAAATGACTCTCTGTAGCATGCAGCACTGTTTGATAGCATTTTATCACAGTAGAACTTATCTCAAAATTTGATCCCATCCTCTCAAACCCCGCTGCTGTTTTATCAACTAGGTTTAAGGAATATTCTAACTACTTTGTAATCTTTTCAAACACGTTCACAGCATCTTTCACAAGAGTACAAGCAGTTCCTCATCCATTCACATTTTACGAGATGGCAGAAATTCAGTCACATCTTCAGGGTCTGCTTCTGATTCCAGCTCCCTTGCTGTTTCCACCACACCTTCAGACTTCCTCCACTGAAGTCCTGACCCTCTCAAAGTCACTCAGGAGGGCTGGAATCAGCTTCTTCCAAAACCCTGTTATGTTGATATTTTGACCTCCTCTCATGATTCATGAACATTCTTAGTGGCATCTGGAATAGTAGAATCTTTTTCAAAAGGTTTTAATTTGCTGTGCTCAGATCCATGTGAAGAATCACGAAAGCCTTTACAAAATGTATTCCTTAAATAATAAGACTTGAAAGTCAAAGTGACTCCTAGGGATGGAGGCTGCAGAATGGATGTTGTGTTAGCAGGAATGAAAACTACATTCCTCTCCTTGAACATCTCCATCAGCACTCTTGGGTGACCAGGCAACAGGTACAGGTGACTGACCTATGGTACAGGTTAATTATCAGTAATATTTGGAAATAAATCTTTTTTTTCCCAAGCAATAGGTCTCAATGGTGGACCTAAAGTTCAGTAAATGCAGATGTGCTGTCATCAGGCCTTGTTGTTCCATCTACTGTGCACCGGCAGAGTAGAATTAGCATGATTCTTAAGGGGCCTAAGATTTTCAGAATAGTAAGTGAACACTGGCTTCAACTTAAAGTCACCAGCTGCATTAGCCCCTAAAAAGCCTGTCCTTCGAAGCCTTAAAGTCAGGCACTAGGCACTGATTTCTCTCTAGCTATGAAATTCCTAGATGGCACTTTTTCCAGTAGAAGGCTGTTTTGTCTATATTGAAAATCTGTTGCTGAGTGTAGCCACCCCCATCAACAACAGCCTTAGCCAGACCTTCTGGAGAACCTGCTGCAGCTTCTCCCTCAGCATGTGCTGCTTCATCTTGCTCTTGTAATGTTATGGAGCCAGTTTCTTTCCCTCAACCTCATGAACCAGCCTCTGCTGGCTCCCACTTTTCTTCTGTAGTTTTCTCAGCTCTCTCAACCTTCGGAGACTGAAAAGTTAGGGTCTTGTCCGGGATGAGGCTTTGGCTTAAGGGAATTTTGTGACCACTCAGACTTTCTCCATATCAGAAATAAGGCTCTATCCCTTCCTTATCATTCGGTATTCACTTCAGTAGTACGTTTAATTTCCTTCCAGAACTCTTTCTTTGCATCATAACTTGGCTGTTTGGTGCAAGAGGCCTAGCTTTTGGCTTGTCTCAGCTTTTGACCTGCCTTCCTCACTAAGCTTAATCATTTCTAGCTTTTAATTCCAAGTGAGAGACGTGCAAGTCTTCTTTTTGCTGGAACACTTGGAGGCCACTAGGGTTACTCATTGGCCTAACTTCAATATTGTGTCTCAGAGAATAGGCAGGTCCAGGAAGAGGAAGAGAAAAGGAGAAATGGCCTGTCAGTCAGTGCAGCAATCAGAACACACACATCTTATCTGGAGGCGGTTGGTGGGGCCCCAAAGCAATTACAATAGTGACATCAAAATCACTGGACAGAGATCACATCACAGATACAACAATAATAAAAAAGCATGAAATACTGCGAGAATTACCAAACTGTGACACAGAGACACAAAGTGAATACATGCTGTTGGGAAGATGGTGCCAGCAAATTTGCTTGATACAGGGTTGCCACAACCTTCAATTTCTAAAAAATCACAATATTGGCAAAGCACAATAAAGCAAAGGGTGTGCAGCACAAGGTGCGCCTGTGCCCTCCCTAGAGGGTAAGGGTGCATGAAGGCCTACATGAGGCCCTGCGAGCAAGGCATACAGTCAGTGCCAAGAAATACTTTAGAAGAGCAAGCCTTAGTCTTATGGGGAAATGAGAAGTTATCACCCTATTTTGAAAGGACTTTAAGAGACCTCATCCCTACAATAAATCAAAAATCAGCCGGGCATGGTAGCACGCGCCTGTAATTCCGGCTACTCGGAAGGCTGAGGTGGAAGGCTCGCCAGAGCCCAGCGGGTCGAGGCTGCGGCCACTGCACTCCAGTCTGGGCGATGGAGTGAAACTCCAACTCAAAAAAAAAAAAGATATCCCACATGCTTGCTTCTTGGATCTTTTCTTAGGTATAGCTTAAGACATGAAAATTAATAAAGTACATTAAACAGCCAAATTTCTTTTTCCATATTTTAAAATGCAAATAAAGTTTAAAAGGTTTGATAAATTCTTATATTTCCTTCTAACAGAGGAGATCATTTAAGGGAAGAAAACATTTACATCTGTAATGTTAAATGTTGCACAGATAACATGTCATTCTGTATACACAAAAGTTACAGCTAACTTCTAAACCCTGCCACTTCAAGTTTTCCAAGGAAGCCCTTGAACGCTAAGATGAAAAATCCTACAGAATAAGAGAATTTATGACATTTAGGGGATCACAGAACCTTTGAAAATTCTAATAAATGTAATGTACCCATTTACATAAAAATGTGCACAATGCACAAGTCTACATGCATCTTGAGAGAGTCCTGAGCCCAAAGAGCTCCAATTAAGAAGCCCTGTTTCAGGACCAACATCTGAGCTAGGGAGACTACACAATAAGTGTTCTTATACTATAAAGAAAAACTATATTAAACTGCGAAAATATTAAATCTGACAAATACTACAGAGCTCAAAACATACTTCTGTAATGTTTTACTCATAAGATATGCACTCTGTGTCAATGTGAACAACCATGTTACCACTGTTAATTCAGCATAAAAATATACTTCATCAAATGAAACATTTTAAGGATACTATATTAATAATAATCAGACTTAATTATAAAGGTCAACAGATTCCTGATTAAGGAAAAACACAAACTTTTTTTGAAACAAACCTGTGTTTTTCCAAGAAGTCGATAAGCTTGCTGAACCTTGGTATAATGGTTAATATCAAAATTCTTGCAGATTTTAGAAAGAGCTACATCCAACTGTTCCTATGTAATTAAAACAGGAAGCAAAAAATAGTCAAGGAATTATGTTTTCAAGGCAATGAGAAGAAAATATTAAGACTAATCTCTAATTTTTAATTAATATTAATACACTTACTATCACACCAGAATTTAGAATACAAAAACAAATTTAAATAAAATTACAAATAAATTATAATTGCAATTTATTTGCAACTATAATTAAGTTTATTAAAGTATTAGTATATGAGTTTTTATGCCTTGAAGCCCATGTCTGATGCTTCACAGGAAACAAAATAAATATAATAATTTCTTAATGAATCTTAATTTTGACTTTTACTTAACTTTATGTTTCCTCAAGTACCTGCTAAATTCTTACAATTATACAAACTGAATTTGTAGGACTATTGAAAAACAATAACATAATCTTTCTGTAATCACTGAAAAGTAATTCTCAACAAGTCTATGTTGACTTTAAAAGTACACACCTGAGGTTTAAGTTTTTATATCTAAATGTGCTATATTTTGTTTGTGGGTTTCTATTCCAATGATTTCATTTTTGAATAATTTTTTATTTTAGTATAGAACAATGTTACATATTGAGTGAAGAAATACTGAGCTCTCAATGGAAAGCCCTTATGAAAAATATTCAAGAAGCTATTCACTTAAGGGATACAAAGAGGTTGTTTTGTAATTATCAACTAAACTGACATACTCACAATTAGCAAATCATTACATGTATAAGCAAAAACTACTTTCACAAAAGATCAAAGTCCCACCTCAATTTGTATAAGTACCAAGAAAACAATAAAAGACTATAAGAAACCAAATAATTCTTATTTATTAAAATGAACATCCTCCTTTGCAAAGACTGCTGAGGAAAAAGGTGAACTCTGAATATGTGTAGGAGGAAAAACAAACTTCCTCTCACAATGACATGTCTTTTTCTTTCAGTTTCTACATTTTTGATGAACTATATAAGATGTCATTATGAGGTTAAGGAATTGGGGAGGGTTTTCATCGGCCAATTTACTCACAGGTAAATTACCTCACTGAACTAAAAAATAGAAGTAGTGGGTAATCAAAATATAGTAATTAGTACTTGGAAGGTATCTGGACCCCTATATAATTTACATGAGAACTTACCCATGACTAACAGCTTGGAAAGTTTTCTAAAGGTGATGATCTTTTCAAATACTGTTTTGAGATGCCATAATTCCAAAAGTATTATTGAGTTTACAAGTGGATTTACACTAACCTGACCATGATATTCCAAATGAAAAACAACAAATAAAGAATAGTGATCTAGAACACTAGTAATAACACAAAAGTCAAAAGATAATGTTGCACCTATGTTATTAAAAAGAAAAGGCCATTTATCTTATGATCTAACCCTTCTTACCTCGATTTGTTCCAAAGTATCTTGTAGCTTTGAGTTAAGTTCACTATTAAAAAAAACAGAGAATTAGATGAGTCTATTTTTTAAAGAGACAAAAGGAATGCTAATTAAATAATACTAGCTGAATAAGTAATTAACAAATTCAAAGATCAACAGTATGGGCAGAGAGACATGCTGCTGATTCTACAATAGGATAAGGCAAGAAAAAGAAATAAAAAGAGAAGAACTGAAAGAAAAGAAATAACAGAGCCACTACTAACAACAGCGGCATTGTGCGAGTAGAAAATCATAAAGAATCTGCAGACAAACTAAGAGCTTAAGAATTGAGAACTGATAGCAACTTTTATGAGGCTGGCATGCAGTCTACCATACCGAGGAAGCAGGGTGGTAGCAATTTTTAAAGATAAAAAGTATAATTTAAATCGAAAGCAAAACTTCAAAACTACAGTCAATTTCCACATACTAGGAACAAAGAAGATAAAATTTTTAAGAATACCACTAATAAAAACCAAATACCTGACAACAAATCTAATAAAAACATAGAATACTAAGATAAATTAGACTTAAATACATGGAGATATACACCATGTTAATATGTTAAAACCTTCAATATAATTCCCATCAAAATGACCTCCCAGAAGAACTAAAATTCTAATCAAAATCACAGCGAGCTTTATTTTTTTAATTTGTGAAAACTAACAAGCAGTTTCTAAAATATAAGCAGAAATTCAAAGAGGTAAGGATAGCCAAGGGGATCTCAAAGAACAATATTAAAGGACTAAAGCAGGGAAAGGCCTTACAGAAAGTGAGTGCAGTAGGATGGCAGTGCTGATGTAAGCAAGACCCAGAACAGAATAAAATGAGGGCAGAGGGGTTCAGCAGGTCATCGACAAGGGGTGCCGCACTGGCTCATGGGCACAGCGACAGGCATGCAAGCCCACTTGCTCTTCTGGAAATGCAAAGTTAAAATACAAAATCACTGGAACAAATGGCCCGAATGGCTAAAAATATTTTTTAAAGGTTAAAAATGGCATTGCCAGAGGGTAGCAAGGAGGGGAGCACATGGAACACTCAGCCATTCCACGCTAGCGTGCGGGAAACTGAATGGCCTTCCCCTCAGAAACCTGAGGCATCTCCTGTAACTCAGCACACACCTGACACCCCAGCAGCTCTAGTTCTGAATGTTCTTCTAACAGAAATGCACACAATCCCTGCAGCAGTCTGTGCCACAGGCGAGACTTGAAGCAACACACTGTCTATGAATAATCAAATGGATAAGCAAAGCGATTTCACTGACACAATGAAATCCTACAGCAGCCGGGCTCGGTGGTTCAGCCTGTAATCCCGCGCCTTTGGGAGGCTGAGGTGAGCGGATTGCCTGAGCTCGCAGGTTCGAGACCCACCTGGGCAGGCGACACCTCATCTCTACAATAAATCAAAAAAATTAGCCGGGTGTGGTAGCGCGCGCCACGCCCGTAGTTCCAGCTACTTGGAAGGCTGAGGCAGAAGGATCACCAGAGCCCAGCAGGCGAGGCTGCGGTGGCCGGGAGCGGCCACTGCACTCCAGTCTGGGCGACAGTGAGACACCAACTCAAAAAAAAAAAAAAAAAAGAAATCCTACAGCAATGAAAATTTATCATGTGGACCTCAAAAACATAACATTGGGTAAAAGAAGTCAGTTAAAAGAATATATACTATATGATTTCATGTATTTGAAGTCCTAAACATACAAATCTAGCTTAGGTGACAGACCCAGCCAGTGGCTTTACCTTGGGAGAATGGCTCAGAGGAGGCCTGAGAGACATTTCTAGAAATGTCCTGTTTCTATTTCTGGGTGGTAATGACACAGTTATGTTCACTTCCTAAAAAGTTACTGAGTTACACTCATATAATACGTTAAAATATGTGCTGAACCTGGATTTTGTTTCCCCTTTAATTCTTACTAGGTCTGGGGAAAAAAGGCAACAGAATTAACATTATTTAAATTATTTTATGTCATTACTATAAAAGATTTGTAATATCTACAAAATAAATGTAATCACAGAGAAAATATTTTAACAAAAAAATTAAAATGTAATTGCTTTTAAAACAGTAAGAATACGTGAAAGATATAATTCAAGACACCACTGCCATACATGGTTTTTAACAACTGTCTACTGATTACAGATTTGACTCTCAAATGCCTGGCAGCCAAAGCAGATAGGAAGGGCCACAGTGTACAACCCGGTGTCCATGCATAGGAAAATGCCAGTAACTCAGGAAGGAAAAATCAAAACAAACAAAAATCACTGTTGCTGGCATGAAGTTGAGAAAAAATGGGGCCAGAGTCTTGACAAAGGGCACGTTCTACCTCCCAAGGCCCAACAGCCCTGACAACGCCCTACAGCACACTCAGCAATGAGTTGTGCAGTGCAAGCTGAAGCAGTGACGCCAAAGCAAGAGAGAGACAGAGGGGTAGATGGAAAGCCATTCGTTAGGAAAGGAAAAGCTGTAAGACAAGTGCTCAGTCTTCAGTGTCTCAGGAGTAAGTGGTGGCTCAGCCTGTAATCCCACGCCTTTGGGAGACTGAGGTGAGTGGATTGCCTGAGCCCGCGGGTTCGAGACCCGCCTGGGCAGCGAGACTTCATCTCTACAATAAATCAAAAAATCAGCCAGGTGTGGTGGCGCGTGCCTGTAATTCCTGCTACTTGGAAGGCTGAGGAGGAAGGATCGCTGGAGCCCAGCAAGTCAAGGTTGCGGTGGCCAGGAGCGGCCACTGCACTCCAGTCTGGGCGACAGAGTGAGACTCCAACTCAAAAAAAAAAAAAAAAAAGGAAGGGATATTAACTGTACAGTTTTTAAAGAAGCCCTTCCTTAGACATCATTTAGAACCATAAACTCAAGCCATTTCAGTCAATTAATCAAAGTATGTTAAAAGGATCTATTCATAAATATTTTGATAAATAAAAGCTACATTATGGTCAAAAAATTACTTGTTCTAATATGGAAGGCTAAAAGCTTCTAAAGCTATCTGCAAGCTAAATGGAATGAATCAATCAATTCTGCAAAGTATTTTTACCATCACTACAGAAAATATTAAAGATAACATATCCAAAAGAACTAATTATTAGTGTTCTTTTAAATAGCTGATCTATGAAACACAGTCACAAGAATGAGTCCTAGAAAGGCTGTATATAATCAAGGTTTTGAGCAAATCTGACCATACAAAAAAAAAGAAATAGTACAGAGATAATCAGTATCTTAATGCTCTTTCCCTGGTCTGTTACTTTAACAAATCACATGCTTTAACTCAAGTACCTTAACATCTCTGGGCATTAGCTGCCTACATAAAGATGAGAGAGACTGAAGGGGTTGGCTGCTTCCAGCTCTAATGCTTCATGATTCTATTATACATTGAGCACCAGTTGCCCAAAGACCACATCTTTGTACAAGGTTCAGTAAAGTTATAAAACCTGCAGATGAACTTAAGTAGACGAACTTCCATGTTTACACTGCATATCTCTCACCCCTCCTAGGACATTCCAGTCTGTTTACTCGGAGCCTATTCCAGAGCTTTCAATCTACTTACAAGAAGCAGAGAATCCGTTGCAGACCTCAGAGAAATTCTGATTTTCAGACACACTGAAGCTAAACCCATGATCCCGAAGAACCATGAAGTATCTATGTGAAACATCAGACCAGATATGACCAGACTAGAGCAGAACTCCTAAGGTCACTTCAGATCTAAATGGAGCTTGGTCTCCATGATGTTCAACTTGGTGCAGAAATCTTGCTTCCTAAAATACAATCACTTACCACAAAGCTCAGAGTCCATGATCAAGACACTAAGTGCTCAAAGCATCTCCAAACTTTATGAGCAGAGGTCAGAGCCCACAGGCCAAACCCAACTAGTAGCCCACATTTCTAAAGAAAGTTTCATGAGAACACAGCCACAACCATGTGTTCGCTTTTTGCCTGCTTTAGGACTACGAGGACAGAGTTGCAGAGTTGCAAAAGAGACCTATGGCATGCAAAACCTACAACATCACTAGGCTCTTTAAAGGCGGGGTTTGCCAAACCTGTACTGGAGTTCAGCAGAAGACTTTTTAGTTGGTCAGCTGACCAAAGTTAAAACAGGAAGAGAGAAAGAGAGAGAGAGAGAGAGTGTGTGTGTGTGTGTGTGTGTGTGTGTGTGTGTGTGTGTGTGTATTTACCAAAGTTAAAACAGGAAAACATATATGTACACACATATATATACACTCACACATACATATGTATGTTTCCATCTTTACTGAATATTTCACATAAAATTGTAAAATGTACTTCATTCATCCATCTTTTGATTTAAGATCTTTCTTTGATTGGAGTTTTAACTTCTTAGTCTCACATAAGCCAAATCACAAATAAATTGTCTGCAATTTCAAGTTTCAACTTCTCTTAAATGAAGCAGGAACTAAAAGACAAATTCAAAGAACTCAAACACCAAACCACACAGTTACCTTACATGCCCCCAGCTTTATAAGTTGTTTCATCTACAAAAAACTTGAAAAGAAACTCATTTTTGACAATATCTTTTGTCTTTCCAACTCTTTCAACTTACTTTCAAAAACTAACTGAAATTCCTAATTCCTTCTTAGGCTGCTCAAATTTGGGCATTTTAGCAAAATTGATGATAATCAGGCACAATGGTTTACAATAAAACCTGCTATTTAAAGAAAAACCTTTTTCATTAGTCAGTTTACTAAAACATAAATACAGTAACAAACACAACTGACAAAACAGGTTTATGAAAAAATACAATTAACTCTCACAGGTACACAGCTCAGTTCATGAAGCAGAATAACACAGCCTGGCCCGGAGCCACTGGCTCCCACTGCATGCAGTAGTGAGGCCGTTCGCAGACAGCACAGCATAGCAGTTAACAGCACCAGCTCTGCATTGCAGCAGACCCCAGTTTTAATGATGGCTCTGCCACTTACTTGACAAAGCATCAATTTCCTCATCTAAAAAACAGACACCACCACCATCTTTGAGGAATATTTTGTGAATACTAAATAAAATGAGGAAAAAGATCAGTACAATACCTGGCATAGGTCAAAAGCCAAAATATTCCAAATGCTATCCTACTCCCATCACTATCACTGTATCGATTCCATTTTTAAAAGCTAAATAGTAACTCTTTAGTGAGAAAACATGTCTAAAACCTAACAGGGAATCACTGTAGAGTCGGTGCGGCTGCGGTCAGTAGTGCCTGGCTTCTGCTCCCACTCGTGTCTTAGGCTTCCCACCTCTGCAGGGGAATGGGATGAGCCCTTCAGAATGTGAGCCCTTCAGAACATGGTCTTCTGGCTGTGTACTCTGCTTTTTACTAGCACAGTATCCCACGGCCCCAGCCTGTTACAACAAGTTCTAAAGTACAAATAAACCTCAAAAGTGCTTGGTATAATATGTGACCCAGCGTCTCAGGTATATTTGACCCACTATCCAGAAGAGTGCGACACAGATGACTTTTCCAAGTGACAAGTAAAATTTTAGAATGCCAAGACAAAAAGAAAAATCCCAAAAATTTTCTAAAGAAAAGACACCATTTATGATAGAATGTGAAAAACAACAGCATCCATCTTCTGCCTCACAAAATAGAAGGCTAGAAAACAACTGAGCAATGCTTTTCATTGTTCTTAGGGAAAAAAATGTGTAATGGACTAAATTAAGATAATTCTAAAATCTAAAAGTTTACCTCCCAGGTACCCCATAGCAACCAAAAAAGAAAGACATAAAAAGTGAAAACTGCTCAACAGAAATTAAATAAATGCTAATGGCCCTTGATTTTCATTTAGAGATAAAGGTCTACATTTCCTCTTCTATATCCAATCACTCTACTTGGTGTTGCAGATAATATATTTATATAATCATAATACAGTTATTGATTTCTATTAGGTTAATTTTCTAGAAGTAAGCTATTGCAAAACCACAAAAGACTTAATTCTAGTTGCAAAAAGAATATGTGTTATAAAATTCACCAAGTAAAAATAATAGTACCACTAACAAAACCAGGAAGGTAAGGAAGGGAAGAGAAGTGAAGGAAATCTACCCACCTCCAATCTCTCGTTGATATTTTGTTATTGGGAGTAAACAGATGTGGCATCAGCACACATCACCTATACATAGTGACACACCAGAAAAAAATATCTTAGTGTGGTATTTCAAACTGCAATGAGAGCTACTAAGAAAAGCATTAACAAGCTGTAAACTGGTATACTCCAGGGAGTAAAGAAGAGAATGGTGACCAGAGCAGAAAGAAAGACCTGTACCTTTTGTTTGAATTTATTTGATTGTGTTTTTTATTCATAATGTTTTTGCTCATATAATCTGACATTGTTTTAGAACGGCATAGCATGAGGGGAGAAGGCAGAGAAAAGCAGGTCAAAATATAAGATACAGCATGCAGGCCGTGCCACAGGAGCATAGCCCCTGTGACGTGGTCCAGCAGACCAGGCAACAAGGACGAGCATCTCTAGCAGATCTAGCCGAAAGGTCTGCTGGCCCACCAGCAACACTCAGTGCTCAGGCCTTACTAAGGCAGGGTTCCTGCTGGTCCCAATCTGGGTCTATAAAGAGGAAAGCAGACACAGCTTGCCAAAAAGAAAACCAGAGCCCTAGGGAAGGAAAGTCCCTAGTGCTGCTGTATTTGCTGATAAAATCTGCGTCCCATCACTGTGTGACGTAAAGTACTTATATAATCTACAAATTTCACTAAACTGCCAAGCTCATATTTTGAGAACAAAATAAAAGGACGTTTTAACAATTATGGGCAATTAAACACACCTGTCTATGTTAAAGTACAGGATTCAACAAACTAGCTCTGATTATACGCAAACTTTTCAGTACATAATACAGAATGCTCTCCGGTTCCCGCAAGTAGTTTCTTACAAATGAAATAAAAATGACAAAGCAAGCCGGGTTCGGCGGCTCAGGTTGTAATCCCCCACTTTGGGAGGCTGAGGTGAGTGGATTGCCTGAGCCTGCGAGTTCGAGACCCGCCTGGGCAACTTGGCGAAACCTCATCTCTACAATAAATAAAAAAATCAGCCAGGCGTGGTAGTGCACGCCTGTAATTCCAGCTACTCGGAAGGCTGAGGCGGAAGGATCGCCGGAGCCCAGCAGTTCGAGGCTGCGGTGGCCGGGAACAGCTCTGTCTACCAGCTTTCCCAGGAAGCCCAAGGAGAAATCCTGTTAAGATGAACTCCTTGGAACACATGAGTGCTTCTCTGATATATTTTTACCCTCTGCAAAGAGTAAGACCAACTCTTCTTATTACTTGAGGCATGACTCACGTGTGCTCTATGTACTATATTACCTAAAATAAAACAATTATCAATTTAAATCTTTTTCAAACTTTTTACTACATCTAAGAACTGCGGCCATACCCCCTCCACTTTTCACTATACACATTAACGAAAATGTGCTTACAAGCCACTTCATGTCAACTCTTAAAAAGCCCAATAAGAATTTCTTCAAAGACATGTTTACAGCTAACTCTCATCGTGCAAGATATTCACTTTAGCTAGCTAAAGCAGAATCTCTAATTATATAAAAGTTTCAACACGTCATCTGCTCCATTAACATCCTGCCACCAAATTCCACACTCTCGCTTTTCTACTATAAAAGATGGTGACCTTTTTAAAGTCACCTCATTACAACCCGTCCAAAGCGTTAGTAAATATGATGTTCTGTATCGTATTTTCAACCTCCCACTCCTTCCCCTCAATTTTCAAATACTCAGGTTTCTCCCTCTTGATTCTACTCTGTCCCTGTCATTAAATTTCCTCCCCCTACACTTATACTTCAACCAGCTTCCACCACCCTGTCCCCAGCAAGGTTGACTATGGCTCTGTGCTGCTGCCAATCCAACAGACAGTATTTCCAGTCTTCGTTCTGTCTGGCATCCCTGCAGTGACAACTCACTCCTGGTGCAAATTCCTCCTCTCCCGACACACCAGAGCCTCCCGCTCCTCCCACTCAGGTCCTCCTTAGCTTTGACCCCCCAAGGGAGTTGGAGCCCACTGCTTCCACTGCCAGCACAGCTTTCTCCTCTCTCAAGCCCAACCCCACTTGTGTCTACCCTAATGCACGTCCTTCTTGATAAATTATGTTCTTTATAAAATCTGGGATTATATTTATTGCATTGTGTACAGCTAACCACTACAGTGCCAATTTCAAAGCAAGGCACATGGCATATAGTAAACACTCAGGAAATATGTAACTGCCTGAATTATTTTCACTCAATTAATAAGCTGTTACCACTATGACAGACTCATCACTACAAAATGAATTAAATGGATGCTTCAGTTCAAACAGATATGTTTTCTCAGGACCCAAAATACCTTGTCAGAAATTTCTACATTTCACATACTAAAGCTAATTCTCTATTCACTCATTCTAGTATATGTAAATGACATCATCAAGTTTCTAAGATGACAGTTAATAACTCTCGAAATGAACAAAACCAAAATATCATCAGTACTACCTGCCTACTTATCTCCTAATCAAATACAAAATAGTTATTTCAATCTGCATGATCCTAAAAAAAAATACCAGAAATAGTTAAATCACATCTCCAGGTAGAAAATATTTAGCCCTTAGCCCACACCCAGCAGAGACCTTTGATATGAGAGAACATTAAAATAAAAAAAATCGATGCACATCTGCACTAATGTTTTCTCTGCCATGACCCTTTTACTTTTCAGACACAGGCAATCAGCATCTGCAACAGCAAGTCATGCTCACTGGATGTCAGAATTTCCATAAGTGGAGGTGATGGACTGTGTCCTAGGGGAAGCATAGGTTCAACTGGAACCTGGGTTTGCTTGGCAAGCCTAGCATTTTACTCAGATCGTATGTTCACTTGTGATGGCTTTAGGAGTGACAGAAACCACACCTAAGGGTTACAGCCTCCCCATGGGACTGTCACACTCCATGCAAATCTTTTATTCTAAGCAAATCAAACATCTATGAATAAAGTTAGAATTAATAGCAAAAGACAGTCGCCATTTCTGCACTGCACCTTTAATAATAAACAAAAGATGTAACACACTAATCACTTAAATATTACAGATATAATTATTACATAAACTGAAATCACACTTAAATTTTCCAAAAGAGTTCTTATCATGATGAGCCCAACATCTGAACCATCTGGCTCTTAAAAGCAAGCTGCAATAACGGCCTCAAGGTTTAAAGCAGGGCAAAAGAGGAAGAATTCCCAAGGGATGCACTGGAGCCGTAAACAGATGAAGTTATTCTTGTCTACAACTCCATAAAAATAATGTCAATCGGATTGGAAAGAACATGAGAAAAGAGTTTCAATGAGGTAACAAGAGGAGACAGGATTTAGAAATATCTGAGCTTTCACACCTTCAGAACTATCATTTATATTTTTATTGCCCTGCACCACTTAAAAACATATTAAACTAGAACACAGCACTTTATATATTAACTTCCACTGTTTATGAACACATGTATGTCACACAACTCCTGCACAAAAGACCGAGAGTGAAATCAGCATAAAACTTTTATACTGCCTCACCTTATGCAACTATAATGTTTAAAAGTGCTGGCAGCCTTCTGACACTCCAGGCACAACTGAATAGCTCCTGGGTAGTCTTCCTCCTTGAGATGACAACAACAGATCTCATTAGACTGGAAATATTTTCTCTTAAAGCCCCTGATGAAAATACATCTCTGTTCCTGCTCTAGTCAAAAGTGACTGAATAAAAGAAAGTTAATTCCTCTTAACATTTTTATTGGATTAGAATACCAATGACAGATAGAAAATGAAATATAAAGAGACTAGTTCTAGGCCTAAAAAATACACACAGAAAACATGTTTGGCTGGGCTCGGTGGCTCAGCTTGTAATCCCAGCACTTTGGGAGGCGAAGGCAAGTGGATTGCCTGAGCCTGCAGGTTCGAGACCCGCCCGAGCAACTTGGTGAGACCTCGTCTTTACAATAAATCAAAAATTAGCCAGGCATGGTAGTGCGCGCCTGTAGTTCCAGCTCCTTGGAAGGCTGAGGTGGAAGGATCGCCAGAGCCCAGCAGGCTGCAGTAGCCGGGAGCATGCTACTGCACTCCAGTCTGGGCGACAGAGTGAGACTCCAACTCAAAAAAAAAACAATGTTAAAAATATCTCTTCCCCCAAATGCACAGTAACTGCCCTCTGGAACCATGGCTTTTGCATACAGCCTATACTGTATTAAGTTTTCTTTAACTATTAACAAATCTTCTTTCAATAATGCTTACTATAAAATGTTGCAGTATGCATTCTATTTGTTATCAACAATCAACAGTTCTACCACCAAGAAATAATAAACAGTTCTAAAGAAATAAATATGGAAAAAAGTAAAATATTAACTAGTAACCTCAGAATATTTCTACCACCTAAATGTAATTTATTGCCAAATGAATTTTTAATACGGATTTCTCAAGCCCTAGTCAGTAGTAATAGTATAGAAGTAATACAATTACACAAAAACCATGAAAAATGTTCCTATGCTCCTATCTAAATCTAACAGATGCAGTTTCCACCCATGGGAAGCTGAGGTCATGACCAAGTGCCTACTCCGAGGAGCCCGAGTATTATGAGGAGACACGTAAGTTACACCGTGCTTTGGCAGAGCTTACGGAAGAACAGATAGTGCTAAGAGCACCTCAAGGAGAAAGCAGATGGCTCACAAAGAAAACTGATTAATTCATAATACCAAATATCACTAAAACATCACATGTTCCTTCAATTACTGCTGTATGTCAGATGCAAAAGATAACGTGATTGCTATTTAAATACTACACAAAAGACTTGCAGTAGCAGTCTAACATTACTACAAAGTAAATGTCTGTCCAAATAAACGTGTTTTCTTAAATGAAGGACATGTTATGTCAACAGAAAAAGGCTCTGGAGCACGTCCCTTCCACGTCTAAAAGTGCTTGTTACATCAGAACACCAAGCTGGCATGGAACATCGCCCATTCTAAAGTTGCTACGTGATGCCATGGGGACCACGTTTCCAAGCCTTGTCACTTACCTCCAGCATTTCACTTAACCGCACATCTGTTCTTTGCTGAAAAAACAAAAATCAAAGGTAAAATCTGTTTCAACCACAAAATTTAGTTTAAACTTTTTAAAAGTGACCCATATTACCAATGTTTTTATAGTTCTCAGAGACTTCAGAAGTCCAATCAGCAACTGACGTTTTCTTTGATTTGCAAGAAGGCCTAAGCTAGCTTGAGTAAATCCTTCCTTGGCAATATTCAAGTGTCTGCAAAAGTGAACGATAAATAGTTAAATCGTCTTAGAAGAGTAAGAATATTATCCACCCAGAACAACTGGGTGACTAATGAGACAGTGGCCTAGATTACTATTAAAACTAGGAATTGAGGACTATTTGATAAATGTACTCAACAGCTCAGTCTAAACCAACACTACTCAAAATACGTGGCGTGGACAAGGACCAGTCCACAATCTGGTTGTAGGTCAGTGACAAGAAAAGTGCAGACACTGAAAACAGTATTTAGACTGGAAATATTTTCTCTTAAAGCCCCTGATAAAAACACATGCAAAAAATGAGAGAATAATTATTCTTTGTGACTCCAATAATTTTAAAAAGACTGTGCTATATGTCTTGGTTGCTTTTTTGATTTCCATTTTTCCTAGTAATTTGTTTTTATTGCACTTTATAATAACAGCCTATAACAGAGTAGAAATTTTAAGAAGAAAAGAAAAAAACGAGTCCTTCACCACAATACTGTAGATGAAGAACCACTAGTTTAAACAATACAAAAATCACTAACTTTTTTTTACATAAGTAGATTTAGAGATATTTCCCACACTCTTAGTGCAATCTTCAGATCACAGTGTATGTTCACTTAAAGAATATTCTAGAAACCACAGCCATAATAAAAAAAAAAGTCAATGATAGATTTCAGACATTCTTGAAATATTTTCCAGCTTAAAGAACAAAGTATCACCAAAAGCAATACCTTCTCCCATGTGTGCAGATGACAGCAGCTAACTGAAGACCTGTCTGTAAGGAGGTAACTCGTTCAAGTTCCTGTGGAAAGATCAGCTACAGGTTATTGTTTAAGGCATTTTATTTTTCTTTCTCATTCATATGGTATGCTAACAAAAACTCTTATCTGTTTCAAAAAAGAAGCCTACTTGGAAAACAAAGTAGAAACAAAAACACCTGCACCTGAAAACTGTAGGCATATTGTTCACAAAATTATTTAAAATGACTACCTGAAACTGATTTTCACAATGATAGATGACAAAGTATTTAGGTCATATCGCTTATAAGGAAATCCAGACCCAGCCTGCTTTAGACAGAAATAAACAAAATACCAATAATATATCTGTTTCTACCCACAAGAACTTTACAAGGTAATTAAAGGATATGACAAATACGACTTCTGTTTACAAAGATGCTTTGACAATGAATGCTTGCACTGGGAGGTATTTCCATAGATTTTGAAGCCTCTGATTTTCTCAGGAAAACACAGATTCAGTTAGACAATTCCAATATTATAATTTAAAGCCAGGTTGTTGTTCTGCTATTGAGTGGCCATTATTGCTGACCTATGTGGTGTTGCAAAGTTCATGGAAGCAATTTTCACTGGCTCTTCTGAGGTTTGAAAACCTCAAAAGACCATTTTAGAATCATAGATTAAAAACTCTTCACCTCTTCAGTCTGGTAAATTCCCCCAAATAAAAGAGAAACTCACACACACACATACACACAGGTGTGGGCACAACAGCCAATTTGTAGCTACAGGATTACAGACAAAAGAATAATTACAATATTTCAACAATTTCAAGCATAAATCATTCAATCATTTTTAAAATTGCACTATAAAAAATAACAAATGTTATCCTACCTTGACATAAGCAGGCTGTTTTTCAAGGATTAAGTCTGCTACTTTTTTAGAGACCTATAAGAACATGCAATCAAACAGAAGTAAAAGAAAAAGCCTCATGCTTCCTACTGTATTTTATATCTAAAGTGCTTGTAAGACTATCCCATAGGTCTCCCAACAACTTCTCAAGCAGATACTGGCATGTTCTGACTAGACACGCTTCCCCAGGCTATGACGTTAGCGAGAGAGCTAGTGCACTAAAGCACTCAGAGCAGCACCTGGTCTTGTCAGTGCTAGTTCATGAGCATCATCATCGGCTGCAACTAACATGCACAACAGGTGACCACTTTAGGGGTACAGGATCTGACTTAAAATGGTGAGTCTGTTAAGACAAGGAGGCACTATGTGGGTGGGAAACAGAACACGTGCTTGTACCCTCAACACCACATAAGAAGTGGGAACTTGGTCTTCCACTCTGAAAAGCAGAAAGCACATGTGTTTTGGAGATATAGCTCAGGTGTTTGTGGTCAACTCTATGAATGATGTCTATGTGCAAGGCCAGTTAGAATTACACTGATCTTGAACACAAGGCTCCTATTCCACAATTCCAGGCCCTGCAAGTTGAGGCACCGAGACACCACACAGGCACAGCACGGGGTGCAGAGGCATGTGGGGAGTGCTTGCTCAGGAAGCACGATGAACTGGCCACCCTGCCCAAGCCCGCAGAAAGCCAGCATCGCCTGCACATCCAACAACCGCAGTCGTCCTGTACGTTCTCATAATCTACTTCTAACACCTTTGAAATAATGTAAATTAATTTTTAGATACGATGCTTTTGTCTAGAAACAGGGATACTAGAAGCAAATCTATCAAAGTAAACTGAGGAATATCATAGGCATTAAATTTTAATGTGAGCATGTCATTTAATGTGAGCATGCCAAGGCATGATACACAGCAACGTTTGTGTAGACATTAATTACAACCGAAAATCTGCAAACACGACACCTCTGTGCCATGCTTCACTCGTAGTTTTATCAGGGAGAAATGGGTTGGTCTGTTTTTTACTTACTGCAGCTTGCTGTTGTTTTAATTTGTCTCTGTACTCCTCCAGTTCTTGCAAATTGAGAACAGGTGGAAGCTTCTACAGAAAAAAGCCAAACAAGAAGAGTAAAAGATAAATAATTTCGTTTGGTTTCATTTACCTGGACATGTCTGCCTGCTGAGCCACAGAAAGCACACAAGCAGTGCCACCTCCCACTACACGCCTCCTGTCCTCCAGCCTTCCTCCCCAGACTCCAGCCATAGAAGCCCAAACATCGTCAGTGCACAGTCCTGGGCTCCCACATCCACCTCACTACTCTCACTGCTGCCATGCTTCCCACCTTAAAACTTATAGTGCCGGCATCTTCAACATTAGGGTACAAGAGTTTTATCATGACTAAACACGATGGAAATACACAACTCATGATTAAAAGTCCAAGGGCCTTCTAAATATATGATATAAAACAGCATCCTAACACACGGGTGCTAACACATGAAGTCAAAATACAGTCATGTTTCCCTGACCAATATGCTACAGTTACACTTAAAACTACATGTTTAAAAATAATGCCATCTTTAAACAATGCTGACAGTTCATTTAATTACAATGTGGTATTAATAGAACTGTTCTCGTACCAAAAAAAAAAATCCAAATGCCCCAAAAAGCATTCAAATCTCACAAATTCAATCACTGAACAAAACAGACATGTTTTAATAATTTTTTTTACCTCCAGCTCAAATTTAACAATATCAAACGAGTCTGCAGAAAAATATACTTGTTCAATACTATTAATAAGCTCTTGTTCCGCCTGAGGGTCGCTTGGCTGTTCTCGAAGTTCCCTGAATTCCTCCTTGAAAGAAAAAAAAAGTGAAATTATAGTACTTGTAGATGTTCAAATTCCATCTGCATGAAAATAAGCATCATCTACCTTAACAATCGTATCTTTGGGGAACCATTCTGACTAAGGGTACAAGGTAACAGAACCCAGAAAGTTCATGCAAGATTAGGAAATAGCCAAACACTCAAAAGTAATCATAGACTGGAGAAAAAAACTGGCCAGTCTGAATATTCAGATATTATTCTCAATTCCCTGTGTGTCAACAAGGTTGAAGGAGTTTAAATGTCTAACAAAAGAGAAAAAAGTGACTACCTAAACCATATCATACATGCACATCACATATATACACACTTTACCATTTAACAACATCCTAAAATCTGTCTCACCACAGGCAGCAAGGGAAGAATTCCTCAGTGAGTGACTTTTGGGGTTATACTCAGTACTGGAACCCCACACAGCAGACATCCGATCTGCTAAGAAACCTCAGTGCTCAGCTGAGAAACACCAGTCCCAGACAGGGTCACGGTTTAGTTCTATAGCCCTGCACGTCTTCCTTCGGAGAGCACAACTGCTGTGACCCAAGACCTGACTCTGAACCTAATGCACTGTGGTTGACAGAATGTCTTCTCTCTGATGATGCAGAATGGGACTTCAGTGTCTTCACACAATGACAAACAACCTGACAGACAAATCCCCATCCCTAATGTCAGCATCCTTATCCTGCACAATTTCACTGCGTAGTAAATGGACAAAATTTCAGTTAACTAGGAAATTCTAATAATTCAGATGCCTATCCCCTGCCACACTACTTAATCAAGACATTATGATAGACATATAACAAGTTAGTTATGTGATTTTTAAAATTCAAATTAACCCCAAATGCAGTTCTATACACAAAAATAAAATATTATTTAAAATCATTTTACAAGCTGGGCTCGGTGGCTCAGCCTGTAGTCCCGCGCCTTTGGGAGGCTGAGGTGAGTGGATTGCCTGAGCCCGCGGGTTCGAGACCTGCCTGGGCAGCGAGACCTCATCTCTACAA